ATATCTGCGAGTCTCCGCCGACCTCCTGTCCCCGTTCAAGACCCATGCGTGCCTGGACGTGTTGTTGGACCTTGAGGCTATGGTGGAACCCGTCTGTCTCCGTGTGAAGCCCCTGGAGATCCCTGAAGCGTATGGACCTGATAACCATTGGTTGTGTTACATGGCTGCCGCCGCTCCCAGTTTCCTGGAGGCCCCCTTGGTGATGCCCGAGGACCTCCACCAGGCGATGCCCGCTCATACTTTGGAATGTTTGTCTCGGAGTCTTGGGATACAGTACTCGATCTGGTCTAGAGCGATGGAGCTCCGTGGTCTGTCTCGTGCATGTGCCATTGTCACCGACACGCACCGTTACTTAGGCAGGGGTTGTATGCTGAAGCGTAAGGACTCGTCCCTGATGACCCGCAACGTGCAGGCGCAGAGTTTCAAGAACCCTGGCTTGTCCTATTGGTCTCTTGTTTCCAGTCGCCTGTATGAGTTGATGAAGTTGACTCGAAAAGCTCCGTGTTCTCAGGCCGCGATGCAGCACAGGCGCGTCTTGGCTGATTTGGCGTGCCACATTTTTTCTCACATCGAGCCTCTTGCGAGTTCTCAGGCAGCTGTGTCGTGGAAGGATTGCTTGAACCAACCACCCTACGTGTGTCATAGATTGGAAGAACTCGTTGAGGCTGCAGGTGTTGTGTGTACTCGTGCATGGTCTCTCGCACATGCCAAGGCCAGGGGCAGCATGCGCACTTGGTTGCAGTCATCCCTACCCAGAGGTGCTAGCCCCGTCCATCGCTATTTGAAAGCCGAAGAAAGAGTTTGCGTTGAGTATTTCTTGACTCCTGAGGGTATCGTGGACACCCCTACCTCGATGATGAGTTTTCGGGAACGGAAGTGGAGTAAATGGTGGACCCCAAACTCTGAACAGCGTGTGTGTCTGGAGGCAGGCCTTCGTGAGCTTCGTTCGCAAGCATTGGTCGTTCTGCATGATTTGGACCCGCTTGAAGTGCATGACATTGCCAAGGCCTGTACATGTTTCAAGCCACACACGTCGCTAGGCGTCGACATGCTGGCGCCGCGCAGTTTGCTCTCTGCCCCCATCGACTCCCTCGAAGTGTTCACAGGTATCATGCGTCAAGTTGAGCAAACTTTGAGCTTTCCTCCTCAGTGCTATGTCTGCCTCATGGCCATGCTGCCTAAGTCGATTTGTGATGAGCGTGCCATTGTCAAGTGCCCCAGTCTTTACAGAATCTACTGCAAAGCCCGCGGCTTTGATATTGATGATTGGAATAAAGAGCATCTGGATTTCTGGGACTCTGCTGTCAAAGGGTCCTCTGCTCTTAAGGCTGCTTTATTTCGTGAACTGGCCCATGAAGTGGCCCGTGCATGTGGGTTCGAATCTTGTGCGCTTCATTGGGACCTCGAGAAATTCTTCGACTCCGTGAGCCCCTGCAAGCTCCTCCACTTTGCCACCGACCGTGGGTACCCTGGGCACCTCCTGTATTTGGGGCTCCTCATCCACACTGCTCCGAGGCTGTTGGAGGTTTCTGGCAACCTGTCTCGGGTTATTGAGGCTGGGGAGTCTATCCTGGCGGGATGTAGTCAGAGTATGCCTTGGGTGAAGTGCTACTTGTACGGGGTACTGGAGAAGGCCCATAGTAGGGTTCCACAGGGCCTTGGTGATCTCCCACAGGTCCGCGTTCCCATTAGGTCTTATGTTGACGACATCACCCAGTACTTGCAGGGCACTCGAGAGTTTATTCGTCGTTATTTGCCGCCTGCGGCGGCGGCTTTCCAGCATGATATATCAGGTCTTGGCTGTGTGGTCAGCCCGAAGTCTCTTGCAGTTGCCTCGTCTGTGGAGTTGCAGCGACTCCTTCAAGAAGAGTTTAAGAAGCATGGAGTTTCCATCACTTTCTCGCCCAGTGTGAAAGACCTGGGCACAGTCACCTCAGCTGGCCGAAGGCGCACTGCTTGGAAAACATATGAGAGACGTGCTATCGCATTCCGACGTGGTCGTAAGCTGTCCTACCTTGCAAGGTTGTGTGGAGCTTCGCGTAAGGTCTTCAAGCCTGGCATCCTCTCAGTGGGCTCTTGGGGGCATGCTATGTCAGGACTTCCACCTGGAATATTGAAGCAGTTTAGAGGCTCCGCGGCTTCCTGTTCGGGGTTCTGGTCGTCGGGGGCATGTACTACCAGCGTATTGCGAGTATTGCATGATACTAAGGATGACCCTGTCTATAGACTACGTGTTGAACAACTTACCCTAATCTCTGAAGTGTGGTCATCCTTGTCTGAAGGTTTGCGCAGTGGAGCTCGAAAGGTCTGGTCTCAATTGCATGCGACAGTGGGCCGTGCTCGTGCATCTGACCGTTGGCGATTCGTTCGCGGTCCCATCGCTGCTTTGTATGCTACTGTCTTGGACCTAGGATGGCAACCCTCCCATATCGATGAGTGGATAGTGGAAGGCAGAGCTCCCTTAAGAATGGATCGTTTTGATTTTCGGTATCATGTCACCTCCTGTGTCCGAGAGAGTTGCTCTGCCGCAATTTGGTCTGCCGCTAGTCAGCATTGGTGTGGGCAAGGTCTCTCCTCTGGTGCTGACTTCTCTGTTTTTCGTTCCAAGCACAAGAAGCTGCTGGATGAAGGTGATTTCAAGAATGCTGCACTCTTGACCACCATTGTTGTTGGAGGATGCTGGCCTGAAAGTCGGCTACAAGACGCTGGCTACCGTACAACAGGCCGGTGCTTCCGATGTGGAGATGATAAAGAAACTCCGTTGCATCGGGCTTGGCATTGCCCGTGCAATTCGTACCTACCTGACCCTGCCGTTGCTGCAAGTGAATATTTGGTTCCTGAGGCTCTTGGGGCTGACCCTCAGAGTGCCTTCTTCACGCGTGGGCTTCCTAGTTTGGACGCAACCTGTGGTCACCTGCCGTCCCCGAAGGAGCTCCTGTGGGCCTGGGGTCCCCTGCGAGTCCAGCATCGTGTTCTTGGTGGTATTTGGGGCCTTGATGGCTCTGGAGGTGTATATGCCAAAGATAAGAGGCTACGACGTTGTGCATGGTCTATTGTGTGCTTGGGTGATCCTGATGGGCTCTCTTTGCAGTTATCTACGGTCCTCTGTGGTACCTTACCTACTCCTGAACAATCCAGTCCGAGGTCTGAGTTGTATGCCTTCCTGACTGTCCTTCTGCGAACAAGTGGTGATATTGTCTGTTACTCTGATTACTTGCCCCTGGTCAAAGGGGTCAGGCAGCCACGGGCTCAGGTGATGGCGAACAGCTCGATGCTCGATCTCTGGGCTCTGATCTGGAATGCGATCGACGATCGGGGCCCTGGTCAGGTCGAAGTCATCTGGACCAAGAGCCACGCATCGGCCCAACAGAGGGCCCATTATTCTATCGGTGAGGTAGAGTATTTTTTGAACTTTTGTGCTGATTTCTTCGCGGGCTGGGCGGCCCAAAGGGCTGCCCCCACTGATGAGCAAGTTGAAACTACCAGTTTTGTTGATCGTATAACTAGTCACACTCTGGACCGCCTGCTGGCGGTCCATAAGGAGGTTGTTTCGGAGAACCCTCGGCGTGTCTCGGACAGGCTCGGACGCCCCCCCCCCCAAGGCCTGCACCCTGGCCGTCCTTTCTGGTGCGCAAAGGCCGTCTGAGGGCGGCGGGCCACGAGCCGACGCGCCGAGGGTCTTGCCTCCAGTGTCAGATTTGCTCGCGTAAGTTCTTGCTGAAGGGGGAAGGTCCAAGACTTTTTCCCTGGCCCGTGTGCTGGGCCTTCCCACCTCTCCTCTGACCCTCTGGCCCACCCCTTGTACCCCAGGTGTGCCAGGAGTCACCGTTTGCAAGTTTTGAGAGGAGTTCTTTACTGTTTGCATTGCGGTGCTCATGCGACTGTGAATGCGCAGAGTTTGTCCAAGCCTTGCAAGACGGACAGCCCCCCCTCCAAAGCAGGGAAAGAGGTTCTGTCAAGGCTGTCCAGGGGATTGCCCCCCAAGAGCGGAGGTAAGTTCCCGCATGTCTGATTTTGTTCCAGCGCCCAGGCTAGACCTGGTCTCCGCATGCCTCGTCAGTCAGTCAGTCCTCCTCCCCCCCTCCTCTTTCTCCTTCTCTTCCTCCTTTACCTCCCCCTCCTCCTCCAGGACACTTGATCCTCCTTCTCCCCCTCGCCCTCCCCACCCAGAGCCCACAACCTCCCTACCTCCTAGAAGATGCCTGGTCGTGGGCGAAACACATCTCCCGTATCCGCGGGCCTCGCGGGCAGGGCCCCTGAGGCCGCGACCCCGCGCACACGGATGCCCCGCGCGGAACGTGTCTGCGCGACCGCATCCGCGGGATCGTGCCCCGGAGTCCAGACCGCGAGGGCGTGGGTACGGACGTGTTCGCCTCTCGTGACCATGGCCGTCCCCCACCCTCGAGTAGGACCGAGGGTCAAAGAGCGCCATCCTCTGCGGGACCAAAAGGGGCGCCAAGAGATGCAAAAGACGACCATTCGCTTATGTCCGCAGTTTTGGCTTGACGCTGATGGTTGTGCATCAGTTTCAGCCTGACCGTAAAGGTTGGTTGCGCCCCTTGACGTCCGTCTGGGTTTTTCTGCAGACCTGACTCCCCAGCCCTACATGCGGCCCTGATCAGTAGGTCGGCCCTGCCAAAACAAGGGTACCCTCGTGTCCTGTGCCTCGCGACCCGTGCCTCCTGCATTCGTGTGGCAACGTGGCCCCGAAGGGGTCTCGTGTCCTCTCGCGTGTCCTCTCCAACGGAGTCCGGCTGGGTCTCAACCCCTCCCCTGGCGCCCCCTCGGCTTAAGCCGGGCCTGTCCCCCTACAGGGGGATTTTCGATGACAAATAAAAAAAACACCAAAAATAGTCAAACAAAAAATCCAAAAATAGTCTGGGGACTATTTTTGTTAGTATGTTGTGGCCTTTGGGGGGTATTTTTGGGTTTTTTTAGTGTTCGTCGAAAATCACCCTGTAGGGGGACAGGCCCGACTTATCCCTCGGCGGGGGCGCGAGCGGACTCCGTGACCTGGACCAGCATCATGCCCGTCTCCGTCGTCCGCGTGTCGGTGCACCGCGCGCGGGAGCTGAGGCCCCCCCCCCCGCGCCGCCCGCGGCTCCGCTCGGCCCGCCTGCCCCAGGGGGGGGCGAGGCGAGGGCCTCCTCCTCCTCCTCCTCCTCCTCCTCCTTCTCGTCCGCCTCCTCCTCCTCCTCCCCCTCCTCCTCCTCCTCCTCCTCCTCCTCTTCCTCGTCCTCCTCCTCCTCCTCCTCCTCCTCCTCCTCCTCCTCCTCCTTCCTCCTCCTTCTCCTCCTCCCTCCATCCTCCTTCCGCCTCCGCCTCCACCGCCTCCACCGCCTCCTCCCCCTTTCCCTCCCCCTCCCCCTTCACGTACCATCACCGATGGGTGCACGCAGCAGGAGGCAGACGGGGAGGATCGGAGGAGGATGGCCGGTGGACGCAACGGCGGCCTCTCTGCCCGGCCCGAGTCCGCGCGGCAGCTTCCGTCTGCCCCGGCCCCGCCGTGGGCGCTCCCCGCGGCCCAGCTCCGCCGTTGCGCCCGAGGCAGCACGGAGGGCCGCCGCTGCCTCGAGGGGCCCTCCTGCGAGGACGGCGGTGCGTCGGCGAGGCGGCTCGATGTGGGGCCCGCTGTGCTCCACGCCGGCGTCGCCGATGCACCACCGGCGTCGCCAGTGCATCCCCGATGCACCGGCGATGCAGCGCGATGCTCCGAGCTCATCTGCTCCGACCCCATCCAGGAGGCCTCGAGGGAAGAGCGGGTCCCGGGAAGTGTGCTACCCAGCTTTGCGGCGCACGCACTGCGCTGCTCTCAGCCTCCCAGGCGCTGCAACACACGCGGCACGCGGGCGAGAGTCGCCCAAAGCTGCAGTTCTGCGGGCGCCACTCGCGCCCGGCACGAATTGTTCTTCTGCAGAGCCTGTTGTGACAACCATCTCTCGCCTTGAGGGTGGCAATTCTCGCATCGACCTCTTTCTACAAAACCAGATCGGCAGCCAGGTGTTTTTCCTGAATTCCCGCCAGGTGCGTCGACATGCCAGCTGCGAATTCAGACGATGATGCCGTACAGACTCGGGTTTGGCAGCCTCCTCCTCCCGGCTGGAGGCTCGCTCTGAGTTCCCCCTCCTATCCCACGCTCTTCTGCGAGTGGGATGGAGGGGAACGGGGAGAGAAGGATGGGACGGAGGAGGAGGAAGAGGGGTGTTGGGAGGAGGGAGGAGGGAGGAGGGACGATGATGATGATGACGCTGATGCTGATGATGGTGATGGTGATGGTGATGGTGATGGTGATGATGATGATGATGATGATGATGATGATGATGATGATGATGATGATCGTGATGATTGTGCTGCTTCTGATGATGATGCTGATGATCATGGTGATGATGATGATGTTGTTGATAATGATCATGATGATGTTGATGATGATGGTGGTGGTGATGATGGCGATGATGATCATGCTGGTCCTAATGTTGATGATAACGATGATGATGATGATGATGATGATGATGATGATGATGATGATTATGATGATGATGACGATGACGATGACGATGATGATGATGATGATGATGATGATGATGATGATGATGATGATGATGATGCTGCTGCTGCTGCTGCTGCTGATGATGATGATGATGATGATGATGATGGCGATGGCGATGGCGATGGCGATGGCGATGGCGATGGTGATGCTGCTGATGATGCTCATGCTTATGATAATGCTGATTTTAATGCTGATGTTAATGCTGATGATGCTGATGATGTTGATGATGCTGATGATGCTGCTGCTGATGATGATGCTGCTGATAATGATGATAATCAGGCAATGAGGGGGGAAAGAGAAGCTTTTTGAAGGCAGAAGACGAAGAGGGAGGATGAGACGAAGGAGGTGGGGGAATGATGTTGAAGAGCATGGATGAAGAGGATGGGGATCGAAACTGATGAGAAGGTGGAGGAGAGAGAATGAGCAGGGGAGGGCGGATGGGGCTGGAGGCAGAGTGCGAGGCTGGGGAAGAGGGGAGGGCATTTCCCCCATTCCGCTTGCCTGGATGGCTCTCCATTTGTTCTTTGAGGAGACTCGCCCTATGACATTTGTGTTCTTCGCTACTGTTGCGCCGGTTCCTTATCAACAGAGCAGTGCCATGATGATTTGTATAGAATGACATGCGATGACGTACGTCGCATGAGCACTCCACCCAGGTAAGTAAAGAGATGCTACATCAGGGCAACGCCTATTTCTGCCGCCAAAGACATCATCTAACAAACTTGTCAATTGTCGCGGTCGCACATTGCTCATCCTACGTTCATCGACGTCGTCCCCTCTCTGGACGCTTTGTCGAGAACCTCTCGAAGGCCTACGAAATTTCACCGGATCGTTATCCTTCCGCATCTTCATCGGTATCTCTTAGATTCTCCTCCCAGACGCCTCCGACAAATACCGTGAATCTCCCGAGCGTTTCCGAAATTCTGTCCAATCATCCTTCTCTCTGTCCCCTCCCCCCATCCTGCTCCGACGACGGTACAGACAAAGATGAAGACGTTGACGAACGTAGTGGCGGTGTCGACGAGCACAACGATTGGGTCAAAACATGGATTTAAGGAAAGCGTGTCATGGAACCTTGAGTATCCTCCAGGAGTAGTATGTTGGTTGTTCTGGGCACCGAGGAGGGCCCAGGGAACCCCAAAGCAAGAAGAGCTTCAATGATCCGTGTCCCTCAGGACCCATTCCAAGGGATACGATGTCCTAGATTGAGGACCCGCTTCCCTCGGGATCCTGTTTCTTGACAGCGAGACGACGACGACCCCATACGCCGACTCGGGACCGCTGAGGCCTACGACTGCGACGAAGACGATGACACGAACGACGAAGAGGACGAGGACGAAAACGACGCCGCCGCCGCCGACGACAGCGGCGACGACCCGGACCGTCTGGTCGGGGCCGCCCGAGGTCCTCGAGCTCCGTCTTGGTCCGCAGCCCGGACTCGCACGTGAGGCGCCCTTTGGTCGGCCTTCCTCCGCTACCTGTCGCCGGAGTCAGTTTCAGTGCGCGGCTTGCGGGCGGTCCGGGGGTACCAGACCTGGGCTCGGGTATACAGTCGGGGCGCTGAAGAAGGAACCCTTTTTGTTTGTGTTTGCTTGAGGTTTTCCTCAGTTTGCCTGAGGTTTTCCTGAGGTTTTCCTCAGGTCTTTCATGGGAAATCGAAGTTGAGCTTATGGGAAAAGGAGCCCCGTTCCTTATTGAGGGTTCCTTAGGTCAAGGCCCCGACTGTAGCCAGGACCCCAGGGAAGGGGACCCGGTTGGTAGTAGGGCCCTGGAGCTCCTAACTTAGCCAGAGCCACTAAACCAGGTTTGCCGTTGCTGGTGTTTTTCGAGTGACTGCAATTCCGGACAGTGGAAAGGGACGGGGGGATGGCGTCCTCATCACTAAACCAGGTCCCGCTAAACCCAGTTCTGCCAACGCCCGATAAGCACGCAGGCCGTTACCGTCGACGATCGCCGAGTCTCGCGCGAAAGGTCACGTTTGCCTAAAGCTCGGATGCAACTCCTGGGAGGAGAAATTCAGAATCAGCGCTGGTGCATCCGCGGCCGAAATCCGTCCTGCCTCGGCCCCGTCCCATTCAATTCAGCTTGATTCCTCGCATTCTGGCGTAACAGTGGGTTTAATCAAGCTTAATTCGCTTCAATGGCCCCGAATCGTTCCCACGAAGGCCTCTCTCGAGTCGCTTGCAAAAAAAAACGCAGGATGAAGGATTGGTTCCTAGGAAGACGTGGAGATCCCCGGGGGCCCGCGTCGCGAACAATAACGCGCAGTCGGAGGAGAGGCGTTGTTCAACCTTGCACCAGTCACGCTCAATCCTTTGCTCAAGCCGGTCTATGTGGTGTGCACTGGAGACTTCTGCCAAGAAACACCCTGCTTGCCTCCAGGGTGCCCTGTGCCTCTTGGATTTCGACACTGTTGCTATTGAAAGCGTGACGCTCCTACACCAAAAGTCAATGTACGCCCTGGGGTCTCAGGGTGGGATTTCTTGTGTACGGTTTCTCGTGGTCGAGCTCCTGCTGTAAGCTGTGTGATGCCATCTGCAGCGGTCCCCACGTCGGCACCCACGAGCTTAGTGGGCCCTGGAAACGATAGGGCAGTTTTTGACCGTTTCCGTTTCGCCGTTTTTGTTGCCGGTTCCGACACCGTTTTTGTTGCCGGTTCCGTTGCCGTTTTTTCCCGATTCTGTCTCCGGTTCCAGTCCTGGAGCTGTTTTTGTTGTTGCCGTTTCCGGTCGCTGTTTTCCTACTACTTCCAGCTATCAAAGTCGGACCCTTCCTTTCGGAAACGGTAAAGGAACGGCCCCGCCGTTTCTGGGGCCCACTAACCCAGACCCCCGACGTCATGATTTTTCCATGACGTCGGCCCCCAGAGGTTTCGACCTATTCCCTGGGACCGGTTTGTCATCCCGAGTCGTTCCTTGACGGTCCCGAGCCCCGGCGAGGGCCCCTGGAGGCCGAACATGGCGAAAGACCTCCCGTCGCGATTTTCTCACCACGAGAGGGGTGAGCATGCTACGCATGGAATGAATTCAATGGAAATCAATTGCAGTGGATTCGTGAGTGGATCAATCTAGACTGATGAGGCTATGATGCCTCTTTTGATTTTGAGCCGACTATGATGCCCGCTCGTGCCCACCCCGTCCCGTCTTCAGGGACTTCGCATCCTCCTATGATGGTAAGATGGGAAGACGGGCCGCCGCCCCTGGCACTGCACGTACGGTGCCAGGTTTGTGGGGAATGAGGCCCACGAGCGGCCGCCGGGCGAAACTTCGGCGACGCCCCGCCGGCGCACGGCCGGCGCGCCCACGCGCGGCGCCCACGGCGGGCCGCCCTGGGCGCACGCGGACTGCGGCGGACCCCGCGCCGCCCCTCGCCGGGAGGCGCACACCGGGCGGCCGGCCCATTGACAGGAGCCTCGCCGGGCCCCCGCCCCTTGCGAGGTTCCAGCCTGAAAGGAAGGGGGAGGAGGAGGAGGAGGAGGAGGAGAAGGAGGAGGAGGAGGAGGGGGGAGGAGGAGGAGGAGGAGGAGGAGGAGGAGGAGGAGGAGGAGGGAGGAGGAGGAGGGAGGAGGAGGAGGAGGAGGAGGAGGAGGAGGAGGAGGGGGGAGGAGGAGGGGAGGGGGGAGGAGGAGGGGGGGGGGAGGAGGAGGGGAGGAGGGGGGGAGGAGGAGGAGGGGGAGGAGGGGAGGAGGAGGAGGGGGAGGAGGAGGAGGAGGAGGAGAGGAGGAGGGGGGAGGAGGAGGGGAGGAAGGGGGAGGAGGAGGGGGGAGGAGGAGGAGGAGGAGGAGGAGGAGGAGGAGGAGGAGGAGGAGGAGGGGAGGAGGAGGAGGAGGAGGAGGGGGGAGGAGGAGGAAGGGGGAGGAGGAGGAGGAGGAGGCGGAGGAGGAGGAGGACGAGGAGGAAAGGGATACGGGGGGAGATCGATTTCCTCCGCGGCCTGCCTTCAGGCCGTCGAGCGTCCCTGGCCGCCGTGCGGCTAGCTTCTCCCGCTGTGCCTGGCGGCGCTCCCGCGGGCCGCCGGCCCCTCGGCATCGCTCGGACGCGTGCATTTTTTCTTCGGCGAGGACCATCGAGGAGCATCGTCGATCATTTGGCGAAAAAGCCACGCACGAAACCGCAAAAAAAACACAGGGAATGGACGTCCGAGCGATGGCGAGGCCCCAAGCGCCCACGGACGGCTCCCGCGGATCACCAGAAGCAATTTCTCAGGGAAACGCAAGACCCGAGTAAGCCGGAACTGGGGTTTGCCGACGTCTTTTTGGCGAGCGCGTCCCGGGTTTTGACCGTCCAGTTTTCGTGGGATGTTGGCAGCGGGAGGTCGTGTCAAATATCAGATTGGGTCTCGTCATTTTCATGATGGCCCCGTCAGGCCAACCCGAGTCCCCCGTACCCGAGTCTTACGTGTCCCCGAATTTCGTGCACGAGGAAAATACCGAAACTCGAGGGTTTTCACGTGTCGGGCCATGGGAGACTCGTCCGACTCCGCTTTGACACTGTTTCGACACCTTTCCGAGAGCTCGACATTATGTTTGGGATGTGATCCTGAAGTACGATGGGAGCAAGATAAGTCTGCAGTGGGAGTCCATGCCAAGAAAACAACCTGCTTGCCTCCAGAGTGCCCTGGGTTTCTTGGGTTGCGGTGTTGCTCCTTATGGAAGGCGTGCCGCGCCCAGGCAAAAAACGGACATCTCAGAATTTCTTGGCTGGGCTTTTTGTGGAAGGTTTCATTCGGGCGTGTCCGTGTACAGGAGGAATATTAAAAAATCGTAAAATAAATAGTCAGGGGACGGTTTTTCGACTATCGTTAACTCTTTTTGAGCATCTGTTGTTTAAACAAATGTTATCCACAATTCTCCTGTAGGAGGACTTGCCTGACATAATGGAAGCTGTCTCGTGGTCGAGCTCCCACTGCAGGTCGGGTTGAGCCGTGTGCTTGGCCGAGGTTCGCCATGGCCAGAAGAGCTCCCCTCGGCGCTCCCCACGCCGGCACGCTGTGCCCGCATCTCCTCTTGGCGGCGAGCGAGGAGGGGGGGGAAGTGAGAAGGAGAAGGCCTTCTCAGAAGGTGGCGGGACTCAGTACCGTTTCGCCGATCCCCATCCCCAGGCCCATCCCCATCTCGACCCCATCATCCCGCCCTCCAGCTGGGGATATGCCCATTGAAAACCCAAGGCGAACAGCCTGCATCCCCATCTAGGAGTGTAAATCGGCCAGTGGGCCCAGGCCACACCAGTGGGGATACAGTCAATGCGCATAGTAAGGACGCGCGCCTTTTCCAGGGTACCCTTGTGTCCTTGCCTCTGCGGCCCGTCCTTTGCTGTTTCCCTTGGTCAGCCTCTCAGGCCGCCGCCCAACAAATCCCAACCTCGGCCTTCAAGGATCTCGCGTCCTTACCACCCGTCCTTACTATACGTTTTCACGGTAGGGATCGGTCAAGCGATGCCCAGGGACTTCCCAGAAGCCTTCGGGCCCTCGGAGAGGTGCGCGCCCCGCCTCTTTGGGGAAGGCTCCCTTCGACGACTTCTCGGAGGGCCGGGGGACCTCCGAGCCTCTCTGCAGGAGGGATAGTCAGAAATAGTCGTCAAAAAATAGCACGGGGACGATCGTTCCAATAGTTTCGATTGTTTTTGAGGGCAGTTCCTGAGTACAGTGGGGGCGCGCATCAAGAAACCATCGGACATGTCCCTCTATAAGAGGAATACTCAGAAATAGTCAAAAAACAGCACGGGGACGATCATTCCAATATGTTCAATTGTTTTTGAGGGCAGTTCCTGAGTACAGTGTGGGGGCCCGCATCAAGAAGCCATGTGCTGTTCGTCAGGGTGTCCTGGGTTTCTTCGCTCCTCGCGCTGCGCGGTGACATCCCGCAGCCCTTGAAGGAGCTGCTGCGTTCGGGGTGCTCCAGGTTCCCTTCAGGTGCACCTCGTGCACGGGTTCTCAGGGTTGGGTCTCTTGCGAGGGTTTCCTGCGGCCGCGACCGCACTGTATGTTTAATTACGGGACGTGAGAGCGACCACAGCCACTGCTTTTCTTTTGTTGCCGCCTTCCAGGCAGCAGAAGCAAAGCCGTGGCTGTGGTCATGTTCTTTAAGCTTGGCACCAGGGAACTGACCACGACCACTGCTTCTTCTTCTTCGGCCGGCTGGAAGGCGGCGCAAGCAAGAAGCAGTGGTCGTGGTCGTTTTCCCGTCCCGCATCAATGCTTCGTCCAACGTCCGCCTGTAGGGGGACATGCCCGACCCAAGCCTTCCGAGGAGGCCCGCCCCATCCGCGCTTCCCCCCGCCGCCCGCCGCCGCGCCTCGGGCCTCCCGCGTGGGGGGGCCCGCGCAGCCGGGCCCCCCGCCCGGAGGCCGGGCCCTGCGCGCGTGGCTGCCGCGCGGGGACCTCCCGGGAGGCCTCCCGGCCTCCGCTCGGCCCCGGCGGAGCGGCTTTCTGTGTGTGTGTGCGTGCTTTCAACAGCCTCGAACTGATCCCTATCCCTAATATTGACACGCTAAAAGGAGAGGGCAATCTTAGGGATACACCCTCAGAAACTGAGGAAATCCCTGAGATCGCCATCGTGATGAGGCGATGCCCAACATAGGGATAGTGATATGTTCCAGGCTGATAATGCTTCTGTTATCATCTGGGCCCTACCGCGCGTGATGCCCCCCCCCCTACCCGTAGGAAGCCCAGGGTTCGCTCGGGGTCGGCTCCCCCCCCAGCAGCAGGACCCGAGGCCCGAAAACCCTCACGGTACTGATTTCGGGCCCCAGGGCCCACTGAGGCCCCAGGGGCGGGGCCCCAGATGAGTGCAGTGATGTTCTGTTTCCCGCGTAAGGACCCCGACATTCATCCCTTCACTAAACCGATCCCAGGACGAAAGTCAGGGACCGAATTTCTGCTGTGGTGGAACAGCAAAACTCAGCCACGCGGAGAGGGGGGTGGGGGGAGTAGTGGGGAGGGCTTCTCAAAAGCACACCTGTTTCTCAGGAGGCGCGGGCCTTTATCTATAGATGTAAGGCCGGCGCCTTCTGAGGAGCAGCCTCCTTCTGAGAAGCCCTCCCCCCTCCCTCCACCCCTTTGTGCGCGCCGCCCACCCTTCCAAAACCCTCCCGGAACCTTCTGAAAAATCCTCGTGGATGCCTTCCAGGAGGGTGTTCGCAGGTTTTCGGCAGGCTTTCGGCCGTTCCGACAGGAAACCAGTTCCTAGCAAACCCTGGACTTTCTGACCCTACCCTCCGCCCCTCCCCCCCCTCCTATAACGTAGCGCTCCCCCCCTCAGTGCGTCCCCGGCACTGCTGCAGTGCGTCCGGCACCACAGACAACCTGGGGGGGGGGGCGCTACGTTACGCCCCCCTCCCGCCTCTCCTCCCACCCGCATACCAAGGGAAACAACCAATGACGTACACACAAAAAGTTGGAGGTCCGCGCGGATTTCTCGGATCGGCGCTGGACCCCCCTCCCTGGCGCGCGGAGCGCGCCAGGGGCGGCGCCGGAGGCGCCGCCAGGGGGCCCCAGCGCCGATCCTAAACATCGGCGCGGACCTCCGAGTTTTTATGTGGGTGGACCCAACGGGGGTCTAGCGACAAGGGGTCGGTGCAATAGTTTTGATGCAATATATTTGTGGGGTTGCAATACATCTGGGGCGTGCAATACACTCCAGGGTGCAAACGTATTGCTGAATTTTCGTGTGCAATATATTACTTGCAATGCAATGCAACACAGCTCTCCAGCGCAAGACATCTGCAGTACACTTGTGCCATATCTATTGCACCACCCCCTTTACAGCTGGACCCCCTTTTTGTTGGGTCACCCAAATTCTGCCTTTCTTCGTTTCCCATACTCCCGCGCCCCCCCCCCTCGTCCTCCATATCGCCTGTCATGGCCGCGAATACAGTCGGGGCGCTGAAGAAGGAACCCTTTTCGTTGGGGAGGGGCTCCGTGTTCCTTCATTGTTTCACAGCTTACCTCAGGTTTTCCTCAGGTTTTCGATGGGAAATCGAAGTTCAACTCATGGAAAAAAAGGGGCCTCGTTCCTTATTTAGGGTTCCTTAGGTCAGCGCCTCGACTGTATCGCCTGTCATGGCCGCGAATAAGAGAATGCGCCCCAGGCTGCAGGTCGGGAGCCAGCACATGCGGACGAAGACCGTGCCCGGCCGGGACCCCGTGTGGGCCTCGTCCTTCGACGGCGTGGTCTACGACGCGCGGCAGCACGTCGACATCAAGGCGGCCCCCCGCCGCAGGAGGTAGGAGGCCCGGCGAAGAATGGCAGAAGCCCAAATCGGGGGAGGAAAAGAGGGGGGTGATGACTAGGGGGGGTGGATATCATGGCGTGGGCCATGATCTTTCCCCAGATTTCATGGCGCCTCTTCTTATTTCATTACGTCCCTGGCCCCCCCGCTGGTCCGCGCACATGCCGACGGTCATGATTTGCACCCCCCCCCTCTTGGACACCCCCCTCTTGGCCGCTCCCGAACAAAAACTCGGAGGTCCGCGCGGCGTTCTCGGATCCGCGCTGGACCCCCCTCCGGCGCCGATCCGAGAAATTCGCGCGGACCTCCGAGGTTTGATGTCTTCATGTCATGGCTCGTTTTCCCCTGGGGGCTTGTCGCGGGCGTCGTCGCCGAGCACATCACGAAGGGGCTCGAGGAGGAGGGGGGGGGCGGCCCAGCGCCCGGCCGTGGGGGGGGAGTTCTACACAAGGAGGCCGCTCGACGTATACAGCACGCCGGGCACCCCTGCGGCGAGAGCACTAAGGGGCGGCGGATTCTCAGAGGCGACGACAGAGCAATAGCCCAGGGGAGAGCAACACATGCATCCAGGGGCGCCGATGATTCATGTCTTCGACAAGGCTCCCTGGCGAATACATGCAATGCCCGCCCCTGGGCTATTCGCCCTTATCGTCGCCGCCGAGATTGAAGGCGCCTGCGGCAAGCTTCAAGCAGTGGCGAGGCGTCCTGGCTCGCCTCTAGGCCTACCAAATAATGTTCTAGGAGCCTTTTGCGTGTTCGTAGAACATGTCTGGCTGGGAGCGTCTTGTTTTAACACATCGGGTTGATGTTATAAGAACATAGTTTTTGCTCTCAGAACATTTATGGGTTCTGAGAACAATTCGTGGTAGGACTATAGGAATGCCGGGACGGTCGGTCCCTGCTCGAAATGTCCGCCGCCCCTTGCCTTTTGGGAGCGCCCATGCGGCCAAACGTTGGGCCGAAGTCGGCTCCAGCTATTGGACGATGTGTCACCCCGGCTGTTGTGGGACCCTTTTGAGGGGAACATGGTGAAGAGGAGGGGAAAAGGAGGAGGAGAGGCAGGAGACGGCGGAGGAGAAGGATTAGGATGCCTCTTGAGGCCCTCTTGGAGCTCTTGGGGCCTTCCCCGGAGCCTCTGGGGGAGGTTACTGAGCATCTTGGGGGCGCCCTAGAATGTCTTGAGGGTATCCTGGGACCTCTTGGGGACCTCTTCGGGGCCTCTTGGGTACCTCCTGGGGGCTCTCAAGAGGCTTCCTGGCCTTCGGAGGCCGTTCTGGGTCTTTTCTGGGCAGTCGTGGTTTCCTCTCTGGCCGCTTTAGGGCCGTTTTGGAAGACTCTGGGGCCGTCTTGGAGGCATCTTGGGGGCCTCTTGGGCTGTCTTGGCCCTCTGGGGCCGTCTTGCGGGCCTCTTGGGGGCCTTTTGCCTTCTGTCTCAAATGGAGAGCGTCCGCGGCCACACCGACAGTGAGTCCTGTCCACCAGGAGCAGGACATGCTGTCGGTCTTCGTGTCGTCTTTTCCGAAGCCATCTCGATCGCAACGATCACTCTGCCTTCGCTTTGTTTTTGTGCCCGTTTCGTCGGCCAGGTCTGTTCGGCCACTGTGCTCGGCTGGGGCGGGGGTCTGTGTGTGGCACTGGCCTTGCTCCGCGCCGTCCCCCCGACAGCCAGCCCGGCCTTGGAGGAAATCAAGCCCGAGGGGCATAGGAAGAGCTGGTGGGTTGCATGTTGTGCTCAGGGCTGTTTCCGTGAGGGCACCGCGCCGGCGAGGAGGGGGGAGCAGGACGAGGAGGTGCTTGGCTGATGTATTGCGAAGGCCTTGTGGCCGGTGCCGCCGACCAGGAATTGGGACGGCGACGACGATGTGTTCAGGGCTGGTTTCGTGGAGGCACCGCGACGGCGAGGAGAAGAGATTGTGGAACAAGCAATGACATAAACGTACATTATCAGAGGTCCGCGCGGATTTCTGGGATCTGCGCTGGAGCTCCATCGCGGCACCTCTGGTGCCGCCCCTGGCGCGCTCTGCGCGCCAGGGAGGGGGGTGCAGGGCCGATCCAAGAAATCCGCGCGGACCTCCGAAAGATTCTGTTTATGTTATTCAATGTTTCCCGAAAGGAGGAAGACGAGGAGGTGCCTAGCTGATTCTACCTATTTGGGAGATCATGGAGTTCCAAGGGCTTAAGGACTCGGCTCGACGTGGGGCCTTGGCAAGCTCCGAGAGGTTGCAGCGGGTTCGACGGGGGAGGAGAAAAGGTGAATACCCAGACGTCTGATCGCCTGATGCGCGAGCCCCCGGACGCCTCGACCCCTCGGACTGACCCGGGATACTCAGATAGTTGTTGTTGCCTGGGGCTTGCAAGCGGCCCTCGGAGGCTGAAAACGACCGAACACCCAAATGGCTCCATGCCCCTGGGAGGTCTGGAGGTAGGGCGAGAGGACGCGAGGACAGAAGGGGAAGATCTGCTCACGCCGTGCCTGCACAGGTCCTCGACACCGACTTCACGGGCAGGTCCTACGTCATCGGCAAGATCAACAAGGTTCCCGTGGCCCAGGTCGCGCCCTTGCCCCCGTGCGCGGGCCGGGGGGCCATCCCGCACGGAGACGAGGGGCAGGCTTGGCTTGGGCCCTCCCTCCGAGGAGGGCATGCAGCCCAGACCTCCATAGTATCTGCGGAGGAGGCGGAGGAGGAGGAGGGGGAGGGGGAGGAGGAGAAGAGGAGGGGAGGGGGGAGGAGGAGGGGAGGAGGGAGAGGAGGAGGAGGAGGAGGAGGGAGGAGGAGGAGGAGGAGGAGGAGGAGGAGGAGGAGGAGGAGGAGGGAGGAGGAGGAGGAGGGAGGAGGAGGAGGAGGAGGAGGAGGAGAGAGGAGGAGGAGAGGAGGAGGGGGAGGGGGGAGGGGAGGGGCCGCTCTGGCCTGCCCGGCCTGCTCTGCGCTGAACTCTTCTACGTCTGAGCGCTGTCCTCTCCCCCTCCCCCCGCGCGGCCCTAATTACCGTCTTCTTCCTTCATCGTTGCACGCCCTCTCGGCCTCCCGGGAGGCCGCTTATGGACCTTCCCCAGAACCGCCCCCTGCGCCTTCCCCCCCCCCCATGCTCCTCCTCCTCCTCCTCCTCCTCCCTCCTCTCTCCTCGTCCTCCCTCCCTCCCTCCTCCTCCTCCTGCTCCTCCTCCTCCCTCCCTCCCTCCTCCCTCCTCCCTCCTCCCTCCTCCCTCCTCCTCCCCCTCAGGACCGACGGGGTCAAGGGCCCCAGGGCAGGGCCCCGGGCACCGAGATCGTCGGGACGTGCGATGCGGCCGAGGTGACGTCCTGGCTCCTCTTATATTCCAAATCCCTTATCAATCGACCCCCCCCTCAAAAACCGGACCCCCCTCCAAATGCGACCTCAATTTCCGGACCCCCCTCTTCGACGGGGCGCCTTAACAAACCGGACCCCCTAGGCTCCAATCCAAAGAAAGCGCCCTAATAAACCGGACCCTCCCAGTTACAGAAAAGGCGCTTTAGAAAGCCGGACCCGAGGGACGATTAATAGGGGATTTGGAATAGGTTGCAGCACTTGGGGGGTTGAATTCTGCCTCGGCGCTGGCATACAGTGGGACGCGCATCAAGAAACCACATGCGTTTCGTCAGGGCATTTTGGGACTCTGCGCTGCGCGCACTGTGCGGTGACTTCCCGCGGGGATGGGGGAAGAGGCTGCAGCCTTCAGGGTGCGGCGGGTTCTCCCCCACTTTGCACCTCGCGCACAGAGTCTCAGGGCCCACCATGGCCAAGAACAGGATTGAAGGTTCCAGCCATCAGCCCACGACGCCAACGAGTCCCTGGAAGGGACAGCGCGTCAAGCCCCTTGGGCATGAAGAGGGACTCTCACAGCAGTCCTGGATTGTTCTCCTCTCTGCCCTCATTGGCTCTCTCTCTCTCTCTCTCTCTCTCTCCTCGATCGAGAGGGTCGACGTGTGGGCGGAAACAACGAGGACGAAGACCGACTGCAGTTCTTGCCTATGTTTTGAGGTATTCGCTGTCGTGGTCGCCGCGGACGTTGAACATTCATGATCGGAGCCGCCAGCCCAACAGCGGTCGTTGCTGGTGTTGGACAGCACTTGTTGTCGGGCACCCCCCCCGGTTGCCCCCCGCCCCATTTCGGGGGTGCCACCTCGAGTATTCTCGGTGCTCTTCAGAGGTTCCAGGCTCGAGGCCTTTGACGTGGTGTTGCCTTTTTCAGGGTCTCCTGAGGCCTCTGGCCGGCGTCCGTCGTCGGTGTCGTCGTCCTCCTCTCAGGAGGGGAAAAAACACAGACACAAATGATCGTCGATTCCCCAGAAAATATAGCAAAATATTGGAAGTGGGGGGAAAGACAAAAACCCAGAACATATGGGAAAATATGGGGTTTGTTGTTATTTGTGTGTATTTATTTCTGTGTCCTGGGGCCCCTTCATCCTCCACCTTTTCGGGCGTTGCCGGGAGTGCCCCTGGCCCAAGGTGCCTCCAGGATTTCCGAGGAGGCCCCCACACACGGCCTCCAGAGCACACCCCTCGCGAGGCCCAGAGAGCCCCCAGGGGGCGCCCGGCTGGAGCGACAAGCCAGGGGCGGCGTGGGCTAGGGGCACCTCTTTATCGAGCAGTGGCGAGGCGTCCTGGCTCGCCTACAGGCCCACCAAAGAATGTCCTAAGGTTTTTTGTCTGCACGAAATGTTCTTCGAACCTTTCTGGTTGAGTCTGCTTTGTTCTATTCTACCACCTCGGGCTTCTGCTCTACTAACATGTGTTTTCGTCATTTGAACATGTTTGGGGTCTAAGAGCATGCCGTTGTAGACCTGTAGGAATGCCGTGGCGGACCTCTAGGAGTGCCGGGATGATCGGTCCAGAGGCCCTGCCGAGAGGACACGCGGCCGTTCGAGTCCAGGGCTGGGCCGAAACGGCGTGTTGGCCGCCTCGTGGGCCGTTCTGCTTGTCGCTGCGTGCTGCATGCAAGGCGAAGCGAAGGCACAACGAGAAAGAACCGAACACGGAACGAGAGCAACAAAAAACACCGGATGAATTCAGCCCTGTTCGAAGCCACGCCACGCCCATTTGGGCCATGCGCGGTCGAGTGCTCGACGCTCAGAGGCAGCTGATCCTCAGCGTAGGCCACTTGGGACGGTCCACCCAGAACTTGCCAGCCTGGATCATATTCCTATCCGTATGCTGGGCACCTCCTTATCACGATGCCGATCTTAGGGATTCCCTTGTTTTTTGAGGGCGACTCCCTAAGATTGTCATCGCCTTTTGGCGTGTCAATCTTAGGGATAGGGATACGTTCGAGGCTGGTAAAGAACGGTTTTCATTACCTCGGCGGCACCCCAACACTCTGAGATGTTGTGTGCGGCGCCCCCCCCAGAGGCGACGCACGCGCCGAGAAATCGTATAGCATCTGTGTGTTGGCGGGCGCCTTCTGGCCGCAGCGCTCGGGAAACGATCTGCTACGAGATGCTTCTGATGTATGTTTGGGCCGCATGCGCGCCCCCGAGGAGGATACGTCGTACTGGTATGCCCTTGTGCATCCCATTGCCCTTGAGTCGGGCAGGTCCCTCTATCGGAGGAATCGTCAGGGATAGTCAAAAACAATCACATGGGACGATTTTTGTGTACCATGCTTGGCCATTTGTGAATCTTCTGTTTGACTGCTCTGCATTTGGCGTCCGAAATCCGCCTGTAGGGGAGCACGCCCGACCTAACATTACCCAGCACAGTCAACCAGTACAGTAAGGATGCGCGATAAGGCTGCAAGGGCCTTGGCCGCCCATGTCGCAGCGTTTCGAGCGGGGCGCGGCCAGCGACAGCGGCCAAGGCTGGGCCGAGGAGGCAAGGCTGCAAGGGTACCCCTGGGAAGGCTGCCCGCCCTTCCTGTGCGGGTCGACTCTACTCCTCCGCCGCTGCCCGTCGACTCGCAGGCGCCGCCCGGCTCGTGTGGCGCGCTCGGGGGCGGCCTCGGCGCGGCCCCCCCTCGTCGTCTGCCGCAGCTGCTCCCCCGGGGGGCCGCGTCGCGGGGGAGCTCCCGGGAGGTCCACAGGGCGGCCCCCCTTCGTGCGCTCCTGCCTCGCCTCGCCTCCGCCAGATGTTGCCAGCCTCGAACGTATCCCTACCCCTAAGATGGACACGCCAAAAAGGCGATGACAATCTTAGGGAGTCACCCTCAAAAAATAAGGGAATCCCTCAGATCGGCATCGTGATGAGGAGGTGCCCAGCATAGGGATAGGGATATGATCCAGGCTGGTAAGTTCTGGGTGGACCGTCCCAAGTGGCCTACGCTGAGGATCAGCTGCCTCTGAGCGTCGAGCACTCGACCGCGCATGGCCCAAATGGGCGTGGCGTGGCTTCGAACAGGGCTGAATTCACACGGCATAGGGATGGGGATATGTTCCAGGCTGGTAAAGATTCCCCACATCCGCAGGGCGGGCCCCCTTCGTGCACTCTCGTGCACTCCCGCCTCGCCTCCGCCTCCTCCTCCTCCTCATCCTCATCCTCCTCCTCCTCCTCCTCCTCCTCCTCCTCCTATCCTCCTCCTATCAGTGGGGCCCTCGCTCTCGCTGCACGCGGCACCGCGCGCAGAGGGGGCAGCCTCGGCGCGGCCCCTCCTGTCGTCCGCCGCGCCGCTCCGCCCGGGGGGCCGCGTCGGGAGAGCTCCCGGGAGAGAGCCGCGGGGCGGCCCCCCCCCCCCTTGCCGTGCATGTTTGCCTTGCCGTTTGCCGTGCCTCCACCGGGTTCCCCGCATCGGCAGTGGGGTGTTGGTCTTCTCTGTGCGCACCCCGCGCAGGATCCCTGCCTCCTCTTCCTCAACCCCTCTCTCACTCACACGCCCACACGCCCACGCACGCATGATGATGATCATCATCACCCTCATCGTCCGCCTCCTCCTCCTCCTCCTCCTCCTCCTCCTCCTCATCATCATCATCATCACATCATCCTCGTCGTTATCACCATCGTCATCGTCATCACCATCATCAGCAGCAGCATCAGCAGCAGCAGCACCATCACCAACATCATCACCATCATCACGAGCATCATTATCATCATCAACAGCATCAGCAGCCTCATCCTTATCATCAGCAACAGCAGCATCAAAATCATCATCATCTTCTTCACCATCAACATACTCGTCATCGTTGTCGTCATCGTTGTCGTCGTCGCCATCGTCGTCGTCATCGGCAGCAGCATCAACACCATCACCACTGTTATTAGCATCATAATCATTCGCATCCTCCTCATAATCCTCATCCTCAGTCTCATCATCATCAGCATCATCATGATCATCATGATCATCAGCAGTATCTATCAGTAGCATCAGCATAAACACCACCACCAACGCCATCATCATCATCATCATCATCATCATCATCATCATCATCATCATCATCATCATCATCATCATCATCATCATCTTTATCATCATCATCATTATCATCATCATCATCATCAGCAGCATCATCATCGTCATCATCACCACTACCATCACTACCACCATCATCAGCAGCAACACCATCACTCACCATCACCATACACACATACTGGCCTTGAGGGAGGTCTCCAGCGGTTCATCGGAGAACACCTACCAGGCATAGCACTCGAGCACCCCAAAGAGGCAAGTCGTGAGTATGCCTCAAGCGGGCGCCTCGTCTGTGAGTGAGTTGTGAGAAAGTCTCAGGCGGGAGCCCCCTTCCCATGGGGTCCGCACTTCATGTTGGTAATCCGAGCGGGTCATCGGCAAACTCTACCAGGCATAGCGCGTGAGCACCCAAAGGGGGCAAATCGTGAGGATGTCTCAGGCGGGGGCCTCGTCTGTGAATGAATTTAGAGGAAGTCTCAGGCGGGCGCCCCCTTCCTCTAGAGCCCGCTCTTCATGTTGATAATCCGAGCAGGTCATCGGCAAACTCTACCAGGCAATGCACTTGAGCACCCCAAGGGGGCAAACCGTGAGGATGTCTCAAGCACCCCCCCCACCTCCCTATGGGGCCCGAACTTCAGTTTGGAAATTGGACTCCTGGCTTTGAATCCGCCCTCCCCATAGGGTCTCCACCTCCATGTTGGAATCCGAGCGGTGTCTCCAGCGGTTCATCGGAGAACACCTACCAGGCATAGCACTCGAGCACCCCAAAGAGGCAAGTCGTGAGTATGCCTCAAGCGGGCGCCTCGTCTGTGAGTGAGTTGTGAGAAAGTCTCAGGCGGGAGCCCCCTTCCCATGGGGTCCGCACTTCATGTTGGTAATCCGAGCAGGTCATCGGCAAACTCTACCAGGCAATGCACTTGAGCACCCCAAGGGGGCAAACCGTGAGGATGTCTCAAGCACCCCCCCCACCTCCCTATGGGGCCCGAACTTCAGTTTGGAAATTGGACTCCTGGCTTTGAATCCGCCCTCCCCATAGGGTCTCCACCTCCACGTTGGAATCCGAGCGGTGTCTCCAGGCGGCCCCAGAGGCCGCACGATGCCCCAGAGCCACGAGGAAGACCCGGGAGGCCCCAGGAGTTCTCCAATGGGCCCCCAGGAGTACCCCAGGCCAAGGGAGCTGTGTTGGCCACGAACAATGTTCCGGACGTTCCGGACATGCTCCGGACAAAAAGTTGTTCCGGACAATTTGTTCCGGACATTTGTTCCGGGAGTACTCCCGGGACCTCCCTTGAAGGGAGGTCCCGGGAGGCCCCAGAAGGCTCCAGGAGGCCCCAGGAGGTTCCAGATGGCATCAGGAGGAGCACACTGCCCAAGGAGGAGGCCAGGGCAGCAGCAGATCGAGCCCAGGCTCCAGGAGGCCCCGTAGGCTCCAGGGGGTAACAGGAGGCCCCTTGAGGCCCCAGGAGGAGGCAGGAGGCTCAAGGGGGATGCAGGTGGAGGATATGGCAGGAAGAGGATGAGAATCAGGACGAGGAGGGGGAGGAGGAAGAGAAGGAGGAGGAGGAGGAGGAGGAGGAGGACGAGGAGGAGGAGGAGGAGGAGGACGAGGAGGAGGAGGAGGAGAGAGGAGGAGAGAGGAGGAGGAGGTGGAGAAGGAGGAGGCAGGAGTAGAAAGACGAGGAGGAAGAGGAAATGAAAGAGATGGAGAAGGAGGAGGAGGAAGAGGAGGAGGAGGAGGACGACGAGGAGGACGAGGAACAGCAGCAGGCAGGAGGAGGCAGGGGGCAGGAGGAGGCATGGAAGGGAGGAGGAAGAGGAGGATGCAGAGAGAGGCGGAGGCAGGAGGATGAGGCAAGAGGAGAGGGAGGAGGCAGATGGTGTAGGAGGAGGGAGCAAGAGGAGATCCCCAGGCAAGCTAAACATATCATCATGCGGTGTCTTTCCGTCAGAGTCATGTGCTATTGCCGCTCCCTCGCCGCCCTCGTCCTCTTCTTCCCCCTCCTCCGTTGATCTACTTATCTCTATCCCTCATCCTCGTCCTCAAGACCCTTCCTCATCGTCCCCATCCTCCCCCCCATCCTCCCTCATCCCCTCTTCCTCCCTCCCCCTCCCTGTCACTTCCCCCTCCCTCACCCTCCCGCTGACCCCCTCCTGCTCCTCCCTCCCAGGATGATGAGGATGGGGTAGCAATGTGAGGACCCAGCCGCAAGCCTGATTTGCGACCCCCGTTCCGCCGACTCCCTGAGGCAAAACACGTCCACGGCTGAGGCATTGTTGGACGAGATATTGTTGGTGCCTTCTTGGGGCCTCTTGGTGTCCTCTCGGGGCTTCCTGGGGGATGTTTGGGCGCCTGCTGGCGGTCTTGGAGCCCAGTTGGGACGGAAGGCTCGAAATGTCCCTTCGAGTCACTGGGGCAGGCGTGAGGCCTGGTTGGTTGTTCGAGTCATTTGGGAAGTCGTGGGGACATCTTGGTGATTTTCGACGAGCTTTGCTCGGCGTGTTGGAGCCTAGCTTCGGGGGTGGGCAGAACCCCCACCCTGACTCGTCGGTTAGCGAATTGCCCGTTTTCGATTCTCGAGAGGGCGCCGCACACGCCGCCCCAGCCCCGGCAAGCGTGGGTCGGCAGATGTGTCAGTTGGCGCGAGGGCCAGCACACCCCTCACATGCGAGGCTGCATTTCGTAGAAACGTCGCGGCGGCTCCTGGAACGCCGCGACTGTCGCAGATTCTGGGGTACCGTTCCGACTCAGCCCAGCGGGACGGGTGCGAAGCAAAAGCGGCAGGTCGTAGACAAGGGGAAGGCCCACGGCGTCTGGATGCAGCTGCATGGCACTCCGGGCAGGGCGCGGTGCTTAGCGACGCCTGATCTCAGGCATCTCGGCAGGGAAACGTAGTGCCGCTGATACGCAGCCGATGGGAGCTCGTCAGCGTGTTACTACTTGTTTGTTGTCCGAAGGCCTGGTCTCTTCCAAAGTATCACGGTGATGGGCTTCACGGCGGCGTGTCATTGATATGGATTTTCGCCCTCCCAGAATCAGCGATAAACAGTGTTGAACTTGGCCATGCAGACTTGAAATGAGAGGACATCGCTCCAGAGTTTCCCCCAGCATTGGCGCAGCTCCCGACCCGCGGGTTTCTCAGATATCCCGATGTTATTATCGTTCAGATGTATCCTCATCCTGATTTCGCCAGGGGCAACGCTTGGGGGGCGGTGCATGCAGGAAGACAGTTTTACATATATGGGCAGGTATTCGTGCGTCTCCGTCGGTTCCTGGAGGCTCTTCTAGTCTCGGGATGCTCTCCAGGGCCTCGCCGAGGGCGTCTCAAGAGTGCCCGACTTGTCCCGAGCGGCTGCTAGAGTGATGAGCCGATGTTCCACCACCACTACCATAGGAGAGGGAGGAGGTGAAGGAGGAGGAGGAGGACCTCCACATCCTCCCTTCTCCCCCGTCCTATGTATGGTAGTGGTGGTGGGAAGTTGGGCCCATCATAGAGGGCCGAGATTTGGCAGCACCTCCGCGACTCGTGCCTTGACCCCTCCAAACACCCCCGCCGGACTTGTGTGTCTTTCTGCGGGGTGCCCAGGAGGCCAAGATTGGCCCAATTTTTTTCAGGTGAAGTCAATGATTCGATTTCTTGGACGCTCAAATCGGCCGCGACCCCTCCCCTCCAGAACCATGGGGTGTAGCGAGAGGGGTCAAGCAAGCCGTCTTGCTCACTCCCACCTGCCCTTCCAACACATAAGTAACACCCAGATGTCAGCATACCGCGGAAGGACGCCGCAGACGCCACGGGTTCCAGATGCACCAGACCTTGGAGGCCCAAGCGTGCCAGGCGCGCCAGGTGCGGCACGTGACAGGGGCGCCAGCAAGGCTGGTTGACAACTTGGCCTTGCTGGCGCCCCTGGAGCCCAGGTCCAGTTTTTCTGGGATCCCGTTTGTTGCACGCGAACAAATTCACACCCGTTTGTAAGAGCTTCGTTGGATTTCGACGCTGCGGCCTCGTGGTCGGGGTTTCCGGTCGTCTCTTGGGCAATCACTCTTGGGGCCCTCGTGGGAGCCGTGGAGAGCCTCTGAGGGCCATTTTGGAGGCAATCGATCAAACACAAGGGGTGGGACGTTCAGCCCACCCCTATTGAGGGCTAGCTCCTCCTGCAGGGGTCCTCAAAACAGCCTCTTGAGGCCCTCTTTGGGCCACCTTGGCACGCTCTTGGGGCCGTCTTGGAGGCCTCGTGGGCCCGGCTTGCAGCAAACTTGGGCCATCCACCTGGAGGCCTCCCCGTCTGGGGCCCTCCAAAACAGTCTCTTGGAGCCCTCGAGGCGCCAATGTTGGTCGTTCTTGGGTCGGTTTTGAAGCCTGAAGCCTCTTGGGCCCGGCTTTGAGCTTTCTTGGCTCATTTTGCAGCCATTTGGAGGTTTCGAAAGGGCATCGGAAACGATAAGGCGAAACGGCAGCAGCCATTGATGTGTCAAACCAGTCGGTCGACCACCTGCGCCCAGAATGCAGGTGGGATCTGCTGGCACCCCAGCCGCCTCTGTGAAATACCAATGCAGAATGGTCGCTGGGCGGCCGCACATGCCCCAAGTGTGGAGGCAGAGTGTGTTTTGTACTGTTTGTTGAAGGGGCTGCTGGGGGGGGGCCCTCATGGTGTCCTCATTGTTCTGGGTTGCCTGCCGGCTGGGTGGGGGAGTGGGTGTATATCAATAGGAAACAGTGATAAGCCCTCCCCCGGAGGGGGAGAGGAGGGTTGGACGAGGAAACGGTCGAAACCAATTGAACCCCAAAGGGTTGGTGGGATTTGAGACGGGGGTTAACCCCGTGCTCGACCCCTCGCCAGGGATAATCCAGATTTCGTAATAAAAGGGAGGGGGTCTGGACCCTCCAAGACAAGCCATTTCAGACACCCCCCCGTGGGAGAACCCTCCAAAACATCGTCCCCAGACCCCCCCAGGCCCTCCAAGATAGCCTGGAAGAGACCCCCCCCGAAATGAGAGACCCCCCTCCCTTTATTACGAAATCCAGAGTACTTGATCCGCGGAGGCATGCGGAAACCCGACCCCCCTGGTTCTCCCGCGCGCCCCAGGAGGTCTTCCCTTCCGGATGCGCCTTTCGTGGGGCCCACGCTGGAGTCGCCCGGCTGCCGTGCTGAGCCGGAGGATCAGGCTCAGGCGGTCGTCGCGCTTTGCAGTGCTGCCTTGGAGCCCAACGGTAACAGTATAATCCCATACCAAGAACTCGGGGGAGAAAAAGATACGGATTCGTGTTGTCCCCCTTCGTTTGCGGCCTTTCCTGGTCCTCTTGGGGAATCCTCGTTGTCACCGCTGGATTTGCCTTGAAATTCTTGTCAGAACGCACCCCAAGAGAGGTCCGGGGACAACACGTATCCGTATCTTTCCGCCACCCCAACCACCCTGCTTGTCTCCAGGGTGCGATGGGTTTCTTGGGTTTCGACGGTTTTGCTATGATGGTACGCGTGACGTTCGCACATCAGAAATCGATTGACGTCGTGGGTTCTCAGGGTTGAGTTTCTTATGGAAGGTTTGTTCTGGTCGACCTCCTACTGCACACCATGTATATCGTGCCGCCCTGGAACTTACTGGTTACACTTAAGTCGAGCATGTCCTTCGACAGGAGGAACATTCGAGAACAGTCACAACACAGTCAGGTGACGATGTTCCGTGCGCTCTTTGTGACTAGCTTTGATTATTTGAGTGGCTGCTCTTTTATTATTTTTAGCAAAGAAATCTGCCAAGATCCGCCTGTAGGAGGACATGCCCGAACTAAGGCTACACCACGCATACCGTGCCGCTTGCTTTGCACCATACTGCGCCGCACACCCCGCGGGGCCCTGTCGGCCCGATCGATCTGCTTCGACACCGATGCCGGCCGGACCGATTCATTGCGCCTCCGGTGTTTCTACGATCCGGTATGGCCCGATGCTTGCATTGACGACCCAACAACACACACCCATACCCATAGGGGGGTCGGAGAGGGCTATGGGTGCGTGTTGTCGGATGGGGGTCCCCGCTCGAATGGGAGCGTTCCCCAGGGTCCGACAATCCGCACCCATACCCATAGCCAGTCCTCCTCTCAACGACCCCCCGATGGGTATGGGTGTGTGTGTTGCTCGTTCGTCATGCATGGCGTTGTTGTTCATTTTGGCACGGCCGAGTCGATTCGTTTCGGTTCCAGGTCTGTGCCGATGCAGCCCGATTTGATGCACAGCCCGATCCCATCCGATTCAGCTACTGGCGGTTGCTCCTGCCTTGATAGAGTGCGTTGCATACGATGCACCTGCCAAGTACTACATGTTCACTGTTTGGGGTCCTCGCGTTGACGTCGTTGCGCACGTGCACAGAGTCTCGGGCTCTTGCGGCCTACTTCAGGACGGCTGCACCCAACAGGATGAGGCTGGGCGGAAGACAAGCAAGGGGCTGTGCGGAGCGGAGAGGGGGCGGGAGGGAGGGGGAGGGGGGAGGGAGGCCGCGGACGGGAGGCAAGATGGCGTCTGCCTCCCCCCTCCTGCTTACCATTTTGAAGCATCCCTATCCATATGTTTGATATCATCTTACCTCGATGCCGATCTAGAGTTGAGACTTCCCTGGCGAGTCTATGTCGTCTTATTGCGTTAGATGGGTTTTGATGCCTTCAACGGCGTCGTTTCGGAGTTGGAGGTATGATGAGGCCCGCGTCGGGCAGCATTTCGGAGTAAGGGGTCTGATGGTCCTCGTTGGGCCTCCAGGAAAATGGTGATGCCATTTTTGTTTTTGTAGGGCTGCAGCCACAGAGGGTTTGTGTAATCGGTGACTATATCACCTCGCAGTCGAATCTGCGTTTTTGTCGCGTCGTGCGTGCCAGGCTGTGTGTAACGGGGCGCGGCGCACAATGCCAGGGGCAATTCGTGTTCATGCTCTTCTTACGGCCCTAGTGGGGGTCGGCGGAATGCGCGAAGCTTGGAGGATGTCTCGAGTGCTTCGAGGGTCGTCAAATGAGTAAAACAGACCCCCTAAGTATATCCCCCCCGTTTGGTGGCAACCGCATGGGCCTCGTCCCTTAACGCAACGCTCCCTTGAACATACCCCCCCCGATCAGAGGGGGCAACGAGGGCCCCCCCCCAGAGGGGGTAACAAGGACCACCGCCATGGATCCCCCCCCCCCGCCAGAGAGGGTAGCAAGCGTCCTACGTTCCGTAACCATTTTGGCTCACATTTATTTCGGCCTTGCTTTTGCTCACGATGAGTTCGCCTTCGGAGGCCTTCTTGAGCGAGGAGGAATGGGGCGTGCCCTCCATTCCGACTCCAGATGCTCGGCTGGATGGCGGCGCGGAGGGCGCGGAGCTTCCCGTCGAGTCGGGGGAGGAGGAGTGGGGCTGGGGCGCCGACAGCCCTCGTCGGGCGCCGAGCCCCGAGCTGGTCGGCGACCAGCAGCTGATGTTGCACCAGCCCGCGCCTGCGCGCGCCCAGGGCCCGCTGGAGGCGGCAGCAGGCGGTGGCGGCCCGCCTGGCCCTCCTGCAGGGCCGCTGGCCAGCCTGGCGCGGGTGCTGGTGGAGAAGCGGTACCCTGATGACAGCGTCGTCTCGCTGACGTCGGCGACCGCGATGGCAGGCCGACTCGGGATCGCGCCTGGGCATTTCAGGGAGCGCGTCTACGCAGCTGCGTACTCGGCGCTTGCCGCTTCTCAGGAGCACGTGTTGTCCACCATTGGCCGCCTTGTGGAGGCATGCGTGGGTTCTCGTGAGCAGCACGGTGCTGTCATCGACCCCACGGTGTTCTTCCGAAAGCGGAAGTACGACGGCACGGGGATGAAACTCACGACCACCGTGTCGCAGGTTTACGATGACGA